CCAAAGATGGAAATCCGCATTCAAACTTACAGCATACGTCTGCATACGAACTTTTGATTGCATCCTGCTGTTAAACGAACCTCATCCCTGGGAAGCAATCGCCTTCAAACTGTGGTATACTTACATAAGGTTTGGAGATACAAGCCTTTGCTTGCATACTTTTGTGAAGTGAACGTTATCTTTGGCTGAAATTTGCGCCAGAGCATTTGCGCTCAAACTATGGCTTACGACCTTTTTCTATGCGACATTTAGCGCCTACGGGCTTTTTCATTAACTAGTTTTCCCGAATAAAATTTAACCGTACGATTTATCTATCTATCTATCTATCTATCTATCTATCTATCTATCTATCTATCTATCTATCTATCTATCTATCTATCTATCTATCTATCTATCTATCTATCTATCTATCTATCTATCTATCTATCTATATATATATATATATATATATATATATATATACATATATGCATATGTATGTATGCATGTATGTATGTATGTATGTTTGTATACATGTGTACCGTTTCCATTGCAATCTTTTGTTGTTACGATCGTTACACTCTACGTACTGAATATCCTATATGCTTCATACTCCACGTACTTTGCTTCAACGAACATATCGCATACAAACTTTAAACTGTGAGCAGCTGGCGCGCGCACTTTTTCCGCACGTAATTTTTGTCCGCAGCCGTCAGGTGACGCCAGGGAGAAGTGCGAACCGCGTTGAGCGTAGCGGTACGTTAAGTTTGGCCACAAAACTCTGCCACTGACCTCAGTTTGACGGTCGGATGGCGGGCTTAAGCGCCCACGCCACGAGCACTGCTCAGCGGCGGTCTGATTCCAAAAATTCATCCATTCAATAGGTTCGGAGGAAATCCTTTAAAAGATACCCTCACATCGTACTACCCGATATACGGTGCTATGCTTAGGGTTGCTGGAAACGCACACGGATAAGCGACATGTCTTGATAGCACACGTGGAGTTTAAGATAAGAAATGTGCAAACCGGGGATATCAGCGCAGTCATTCAAGCTTTCATATTCCAGCAGACGCGCAGAATGAGGTAAAATGCAACAAACACCAACTTACTTAATATTTTGGCAACATTTTAAGGTAATAGGCAGCCCGGCACCTCGGCACATTGAAACCAGTCCACGCGCGTAATCTCTCCACCAAGGTCAAGTGTACAAACATTATCTTTTGACGTGATATAAGTCGCGTTTTTAATTAAGGCATGTTTAGAATAGAACATGGCACCGATACGTTTTGTTCCATGCGATCGGTCTATATCCGACCAGGGACTATGTAGATGCAATCCAGCTTTATGAATTTTGGCTAGGATTGATCTAATTCGAATCCAATCCATGCCAAATAAGCTAAAGTCTAGCAATGCCTGGGTAGGAAGCCTATGAGCTCAATGAAATATTAACTCTGAAGTAGTACATTTTAGTCAACAGCTATCTAATTTCAGCTCAGAGATTAATAGAATTACGCTGGTGAATGAGGATTAGCCGATACGTATCTTACTTAGTTGAGTCCCGATTTAATGCAGCTATCATGCAGATGGTTATTCTAAAACAATTGAAATGAAGTTTTGCTGTGAAGATTAACTAATCGCTGTTTTGTTGCAATATAACAGCTAGACATATACTGCCAGTAAGTGAAATCAATTCGGTTAACTGTTTGGAAGGTAGATTCAGCCTTAGCCTTAGTAACTGACCTTATGGGAGTCATCAGATTGATCCAGTGCATTTGTTACTTTGGTTCACAAATGACTTGCTAGCTGTCAGATGCAACTCTCCTTTCCTGTGCTAAGTTGCTTGATAGTCCTATACCCGGTGGGGCCATTGGAACCTTTGCCTTAGGTGTGATACGGAGAACTTTCACTTGTCGGTGTCGTTTATGTAACGCTGGAATTAGGAAGACTGAATGGCTCCTCTAGAAATTTAGGCCAGCAATGTTCTGACCTCTGACCCCGGAAGGGGTCTCGAACACTCAGCCCTCGTGGCTGTCTGTGGTTTGAGCACTCTTGATATAGCACCTGGTAGCCGGCGTCAGCATATGGGGCTTAAATGATATATCAGGTTGGTTTCTGATTATTAGCAGGCTTTGCATAGCCTCGGAACATCCTCAAGCTATTACCCGCGTTAGGTTTTTAGAACAGTTAGTTGGCATTTAATCTTGTTCAAAAATGGCCATTGGCGCTCCAGGAGATATGGAGGAAATATCAAGCTTAACGTAAAGCATGTCATGCGGCAGCAAACTGCCGGTACATGCAGCCATTAACTGCCACAAATACCTGCCACCTACCTGCCAATTGAATGATATTGACGAAAAGCTTACGGCTATTTGATTTGGTATTATGGCTCAGCCAATGCGGTCAATACACCGCATGGCTGGCATGCGATGGGATCTTGCCGTGGTTATCCATCTGATAATTAATTCAGTGACGGGAATGCGACGCAGAGTTTGCGTTAATGGGCCCGTATTTGCAGACCATCACCGAAGGAGGGTGTCCGGTTCAGCCTTAGGCCAAAGGCGGTACGGAATTTGGAACGCTTCGTATAGAATCCACAGATGCCTTTAAAAGAATGTGTGTTCTGTTTTAAGCTTGGGGAAGCTAGGCCGATTTGTGGATAGTTTCACAGGCTTCTCCGGCACGAAATGTGCGCCAAGAATCCCCGTTTCGTGCGCGTGGCGAACCGGTGGTGTCACCTTCTCACGGTGTTTGTGTTCTGTGTCCTGCCGCTGCCGCAGCTGTACAACTTCTTCAACGCCCTGCTGGAGCATCTGGGGGACGCACAGGACCGCAAGCCTATAGAGCAGATACAAACTGGTAAGCCTAAGCCACCTGACAACGAGACTCAGGGGTATGCAAAAAGAGAGAAGAGAAAACAGACTGAAATGAATCAGTGAGGAAGATAGCACGCGGTGAGTAAGGTTAGAGGTCGTTTTCTTGCATTTACAGATTAAAGGTCTCCACGAATGCTACATGCCTGAGATATGTAGTAGACGGAATATATAAACATATATGACTTTTGAAAAGCAGCGCTCTTATTTATTTGAAAGTGAACATACGATTGGAATGAAGTGGACGTCTTAGACGTTGCTGGCTCTCTTGGAATGTATCGAACCAGATTGCGTGACGTCACCGACTGGTGTGGCTGCCTCTCAAGACTTAATGTGCGGCTTTGTTTATCATGCAACTGGCATTTCCGGGAAAAACGTAGGATGCTAAGGCTTATATTAAAATGGTGTATAATTATTTTTGATGGCACAGCGTGAGTGCCAACATGTGCTGCCATGGGTAGATGTTTGCGGACATTATGCAGAATGCCTAACTGGGACAGCGCATTTGCTAAAAACTATAGGAACAAAATGCGCCTTCAGCACAAAAGTGGCTCAATGGGATCATGTTGTCGCCGCACTCGGGTGTTTTTTCCTTCCGTGGTATGCCAGACCTTCGGCTAATGTTTTGATTCGACGTGCGTTACCTGCCTTTTCGCTAAGCTTTCTGGGCGTAAAATGTATCACATAAAGTCATCAGGACGTCGAGAGCGCAACACGTCATCTGGGCTACAGCTAACGCACTGACAACTGAAGCTAGTTTGATTCTTAACCAATGCGTTTTCATAAGCCAACATCCGCGGGTTCTTCTGATTCTTGTGGCCAGATTCGTGATATTTCCTTCCGAGGCCTGTTTCCAGTGGGCGTTGTCGACAGCAATGAAGCATCGCGGCGAATACGGTCGGATTTCTGCTCGCACCGTAACTCACTAACCACTCCTCGATTTGCACGGGTCGCACTCGAGTGCGCTCGGTTGCGTTGTTTGCCGACAGCCCTTTGCTGAGCCCGATGCGTCACCACGCGAGCTCACGTGGTCAAACCGCAGACCATTTCCGCATCTGTTCGGCCGCGCGCATTGCGCTTCCAAAAAGACCCCCTCTTATCCTCTCTCAGGGTGCAAATACATGTGTGTGCCGGGGCTGCCCGGCCCGGCTATGCTCAGCCCGGGCGAGATCTCACGGGGCAGCCCGGCAGTTGCAACAGACGGACTTAGATCCGGAGGGCGGACAACTTGTGGCCTAACATATGTAAAATAAAGGACCTTAGGGCAGCACATAGCTCCTTTGTTCTGTTGCTGCCGGCTTTACAGCGATTCCTCTGTTAATCGACGGAGACTTATTAAATCAAACGTATCACACAATTTTTGGTTTGTGCTTTCGTAAAGAGTCATAAGAGGGCGCGGACCGGCAAGTGGCGTGATCTGTCGTGTCTTGATGGTGCAGCAGTGAGCGAAAACGCTTAACGCTCGCTTACTGCGTGCGCTGTTTGAATCACTGCAATGTGCGGAGAGCAATTAAGCAGAGCGCGGTCTCATGGGTGAAGCAGAACGACTTTGCTTTGAATCTGGGCAAAGTGAGATACTTAGCGCTGGCACACCCCAGACAAGTAATCGAAAGTATTCAGTGTTATAGTCATCAACTACCTACCACGCTCCATTTTGCTAGTCTTTTCCAGCGTTTGAAATGAACATGACGGAGACGTAACGGACCGAGACATTGCTGGGTGCCTTAATGGTGAGACTATGCCAACAAGCATCGATTAGCAGGAACATGTACGTAGCGAGCCTATTCTATGAAATATGGAATTACGAAGCTAAGTATTCAAAGGAGGATAAAATATCACAGTGCAGCTAATTTGCCATGTTATGGAAGTATGCATCTCGCACCTCACCACCGCAGGGTGTCTACGAGTCGGCCGGGTCCGGGCGTCGCTCGCCGCAGCTGCCGCGCGCAGGAGCTCCGATCGTCGGGGCAGGCCGGCTGCCACGTGCTGTCACGCCGTCGTCACGTGTCGTCACGCCGCCGCCACGTGCTGTCACGCCGTCGTCACGTGTCGTCACGCCGCCGCCACGTGCTGTCACGCCGTCGTCACGTGCCTCCACGCCGCCGCCACGTGCCGTCACGCCGCCGCCGGGCCGTTTCAGACCTGCACAGTCGCATGTACGGCTCACAGGAGAGGCTGCGGCTGATGACGGAGCCCAGCTCGGTACGCGTCGACGCGACCTACCGCGGCCCGCGTCCTCCACTTCCCCATGGCCCAGGCCGACCTCAACTGCCTCATCGAAGGCTTCAAGAACAAGAAGGTCAGCCGCGCCGCAGGACGGGATGGGGAGCCGTGGGGGGAGGAGGGGAGGGCCCAACACGCAGCGGAACTCATTAAGCTCTGGATGGATCACACGCCTGGAAAAGTTGAACCCAAACCGTGCTTATCGCTTCACGAGTGGGACGAAAATGGGTCTGCTTCCGCATGCAGTTTACCCTGGTGAATGACACTCCGGGGTTCAGCCACAGACAAATTATGCACCTTGAAAATGGGGCCGGAATCCAAATGCCTCAAAATAGTATGCGAGATTGCTCTACTTGGCCGTTTGCAGCTTCGGAGGAAGCCATTCCATAAAATGGCCAATCGAGGATATCCAGCTTCGCCGGTGTGTTAGTTTATCTTTACCTATGACGGCTCACTTATTCCGTGTTGACACAACATATGTGTCCCCATGACGTCGCGCCTCTCCGTCAGCTACTGCACGTGCACTACGTGTTCAGTCTACTGCACGAGGCCATCCGCGTGCTGCGGACGCTACCCTCGCTTAATCGGGCGTCAACGGATGTGTCGCGCCAGATCACCGTCTGCGGCGACCTGCACGGCAAGCTGGACGACTTGCTGGTCATCTTCCACAAGGTCAGGGTCAGATTTTGTGGGGGACTGGGGCAGGACACACTGGCACTGCAAGTTGGACGACCTGCTGGTCATCTTTCACAAGATCAGGGTCGTACTGTGCAGGGGAATGGGCCAGGGCGCATTGGCACTGCAAGCTGGACGACCTGCTGGTCATCTTCCACAAGATCAGGTCCAAACTGACGTTGGCGCAGGGCACGCTGACACTGCAAAATTGACGACCTGTTGGTCATCTTCCACTGGCGTACGATGACTGGCGCTGGCGCAAGACACACTGGCACGGTAAGCTGGACGGCCTGCTGGTTATTGCGATCTAGGCTGTCAATATGCCAGGTCATTAAGGACGGACGGCCAGACTTTATTACATGCCCTCATTGACGTTTTGGCTGGCACATTTTGGTTCAGCATGGGCTCCCACAGAGTTCATGATAAACCAAAAACTGTGTAGATGTGTGCGTAAACAGTGGGTGAACGTCTGGCAAAGAGATAGCAACTATATGAATCAAGAGAAAATGCCGCAACTTGAGACGTGTGCATGTTACAAAATACATTTTGAGAGGCCTGGTTTCTTCAAATGTCCAGATCCACATATCAGGACGGTCCATGTGCTGTCTTGTTGCTTGGACGCAGAAGTTCCGCATCGTACGCTACCAAGACAAACAGCCGGTTGCATCATCAAACGTTCCACAGGAGGTGCACCGGTGCACGCTGTGCTGTGGGCTGAACTGATCACTCTGCGGAGGGGCTTGCCGCTTCTGGAAAAAGCATTGTCTCCTAGGCAAATTCAAAAAAGTCGCAGCATTATATTTGGACTAACACGGCAGTAAGAGTTTTGCGAAGCTTCAGACTTAAGATGAGTCTCGTGGGAGAAGTGTACGCGGTAATGCTACGTTCATTTTGGAAGTGTGCTTATGGTGTGTAAAGTGAAGGCTATAAAGTAAATGCTTGAGGCAAAACGTTGACGTAGTATTGATTTAAATGGTTGGTTTTTCTTGTAACTGACACGATGCTTTTTGGATCATAACGTTTAAATGGTTCTAGAAAATCATCAAATCATTTTGATAGATCCGATGTCTTTCAATTCATGCGTCGATTCACGGATTACACGCAGAAACTACTGAAGTGCACCTCTGAGATAGTTATAGCAGCAAAAACCGTCAGGCTTGTCAGGCGTGCACAGACATCTGTCGGTATTTTTTCCATCAGCATTGACCTCGTAATGCCTTTTTACCCGCACACGGTTGGCCCATCCGACCTGCCCCTTGGCTTATCAGATACTATCAGCGTGATACATCGAGATCCAGGCAGCCAATTTGGCTGTCATGTTCAGCGAATCTTTGTATTTGAATTTATTTCCTGAGGTGATAGCTAGCTTGTTTGATCTGACGTCAAGATAATGAAATAGTCCCCAGTTGCCACGTTTCAAGATTATGTGACCGTGCTTCCCAGAAACCACGCCGCCTAAGTTGGAGCTGATCTCTTGGCACCGCCGTTCTCCTGTCGCGGCTTTGGCCAAGGACAGTTGTCCCACGGTTTGCTCTCGAATTCCCACGTCGTTACTCTGCAAAGCTCGCTCACATATTCTCGTTGCCGTTTCCCGTTCTCATTGTCTAAATCGCATCTTGCCGTTGCGGATCCCTGAGTTTTACGCTTGTCCACCCGGGCGGGAAGAGCAGGCAAGGCAAGGCCGGTACTTCCGGCTCTGGCACTAATTAGAACCCAGTCACACTGTCGCGACTCAGACTTGACTGGCGAAACTTCTGATGACCCACGCATGTCTGATTTTTCTGCCGTCCCTGCTGACCCTCGCTCGCATGTGGCTCACGACGCCTCTGGCTCCAATGATCACAAGTTTCCCTGTTGACCGTCGAGTCTTCTGAAAGGGCCTCTGACCACACACTCAGCCCGCTTTACTCATAAGTGGAGTGCAGTCTTCGGATGAGAAAGTCTCCTTCGGGTAAAATGACGTGTTCTGGTCATCGAAATAAGTGCGGCTGTTTGTGGTTCACTCAACTGCAGCTGGCTGCAGTCAGCTAGCTGAATGGCTCACTCGCGAACAAAATCAAGTCCCTTGTACATATCGGAGCTTCTCTAGGGGCTACGCAGTTTTGCGATAGGGCCGTCGCAGGACATGCACTATGCTGAAAACACCACCAAGGGAACAATTTTTGCGGCAGCCAAATTCCTGAGAGAGGAGCAGATGTTCACGGGTTTAAGAAGCGAGGCAACGTGCCAAGCCTAGCGTGTTTTGAGTCTGCGGATGACTACCTTCAAGGACTCCCAGCGGCAGATATCAGTGGGCACGTCGTTACGTTCCGCATAACTGGACTTCCGCAGCATCTGTTCTTTGACCGTCGTCGTCACCCCATGCAAGTTTTCGTAGCCAACTCGCTGCCCTGAATCAACTGTCAAGGTTTCGGTCAGAGCAGAAAAACACTGCAATGAACACGCCGGGTGTACGAATTACGGTGGGGTCTGCGCCAAGGATCAGTTTTCACGTCTGATATCGGGAGAGAGAAAGAAAGAAAGAGAGAGAGAGAGAGGAGAGAGAAGAGAGAGAGAGAGGAGAGAGAGAGAGAGAGAGTAGAGAGAGAGAGATAGAGAGAGAGAGAGAGAGAGATAGAGAGGGGAGGAGGAAGGAGTAGGGAGAGGAGAGGAGAGAGAGGAGAGGAGAGAAAAAGAGAAGAGAAGAGAAGAGAGAGAGAGAAGAGAGAGAAGAGAGAGATAGAGAGAGAGAGATAGAGAGGAGAGAGAGAGAGAGAGAGAGAGCGAAGAGAGAGAGAGAGAGAGAGAGAGAGAGAGAGAGAGAGAGAGAGATAGAGGAGAGAGAGGAGAGAGATGAGCGAGAGAAGAGAGCGGGAGAGAGAGGAGGAGAGAAGATGCAAATAGTAACGCCATACAGCATACCCTCGCACCGTCGATTTGCGATCCTCCCACCCTCACACACACTCATTGTCTTGCGCTCAAGGCAGGAGTCTGGTTTGGCTCGAAGGCCAATATCGGACTGTGCGTCTTTGAAATCAACGGCGCCATATCCCATCGCACCGTCAAGTTTGCGATGCCTCCCACCCCACACAACACACATGGTCGGGCAGCTCAAGTGCAGTCAGTCTGGTTGGTCGAAGGCCATATATCGGTCTGTGCGTTCTTGTGCGCCTCGACCGAGACACTCACTTTCCTGTTTCGGACCGCCGCTGTCTCCACTGAGGCCTAGACGCGGACTCCAGGTGTGCCGGCCCCCGACACCGCCCCTGGCCGAGCCCGGCCACGCGTGACCTCCGAGCCCCAGTGCGATCGGTCCTGCAGTCCGCTGGCTATGGATTGTTCGCGGCCGGATCAGCCCGCCCGGCAGTCGAGTTGCCGGTCCTAACATAGCCGGGTGGCCGATGCTGACATAGCTGAGTGGCCGGTCCTAACACAGCCAGGTTCCTGACATAGCCGGGTGGCCGATCCTAACATAGCCGGGTGGCCGGTCCTAACATAGCCGAGTTGCCGGTCCCAACATTGCCAGGTGGCCGTTCCCAACATAGCCGGGTGGCCCGTCCTAACGAAGCCAGGTGGCAGTCCTAACATAGCGGAGTTGCCGGTCCTAATATAGCCGGGTGGCTGGTCCTAACATAGTCGAGTGGCCGGTCCTAACATAGTCGAGTGACCGGTCCTAACATAGCCGGGTGGCCGGTCCCAATATAGCCGGGTGGCCGGTCCTAACATAGCCGGGTTGTCGGTCCTTTCATAGCTGGGTGGCCGGTCCTTATATAGCTGGGTGGCTAGCAGCCGGGTGGCCGGTCGCATAATAGCTGGGTGGCCAGTCGTAACACAGCCGGTCGTGCCCACCACCCACCGCCCGAGGTCGACACCAGGACCGCAGGGCACGTCCGGCTGTCACGGTGGCTACGGGCAGCGTGTCAATGGCCCTCCACCCGATGGTGATGTCTCCGTACATAACTGACGCCGGCACCTCAGAATGCTGACATCGGACCCTCGTAAATTATGTATCAATGCGTTCATCGTTCCAGTGGCGCTGCGGGTGGCTGATGTCCCTGCGTGCTGAAAGGAGCTAATTTGCTTCTGTTTGAGCACCTAATCGCATTGCCGTCCAGGAAAGGTGTGTGCATTACGACCTACATTACCAATGAAGACTTTTAACCCCTCAAGCTGCTGTTAAGCCGACACGATGAAGTTGGTGGACACCGCAGACAGCGCTATGCAACAGCAATGATTTTGCACTTGGCCGCGAACGCCGAGCTCGAATCTGCAGCCCACCGCATGCGTCACCCTCGGGAGGGCCGTGAGTCCGGAGGTGTACAGCCTGCACCTTACGTAATATCTCGATAATGCTGAGCTTTCCCGTGAACTGCTCTGTTTGGTTGTCAGTTTTGGCATGCGCGTCTTCTCCCCAGCGATTTTCACTTTCATTTTCCGTTGTAGTGTGATCGGCGGAGTCAGGATGCAACGGGACGGCCGTGGAAGTGTCCTTAGATGCCAACGGGCTCGTGCGAAACACAGGCCATTCCACTCGCTTTGGTACTGAAAACAACATCAAACTGAGCATTGATTTGCCAATGCCTCCCCCAGCACTCAGCGATGTGGAGTGAAACTAACGGCATATATGATTGACTTCTATTCTATTGTACTCCGTCCCAGGTTTTGTCAGCTGGTGCAACCATTCTGACGCCAACATGGGGCTTCAAATTGACTTTCTAGACCCAGTTTTTTAGCTGCAAGAGTGGAGCCATGCGGATAACCCTAGTGAGGAAACCTGTTTCATCACAGACACCATTAAACATGTATCAACAGCCGCGACGCAATCATTGGGACTCTAGGGAGACAAGATCTTTTCGTCGTGGTCCAGTAAAGGAAAACCATCGATTCCCAAACAAAAGCTAGCATTTCAAACTTGCGTTCGCTTAGTATGTAGACATGTCCGCGCTTTTTGAACATGTAAGAAACTTTTCAGCGCTCATTTTAACCACGCACCTTTAACAGCGATTTTCAGCTGGAGATGATTTGCAGAGATTTTAAAAAATGTTTGTAAAGACGCATCATTTGATTCATGCTTGTATGGACAGGAATTATGCCAAATCTCTTCCCACCGAAAGTTTTCATGAAATTTTTCAAACAGTTTTTATTAGATACATTCGGTGACAACTCTGACGCAAACATGACAAAACAAGCTTCTATTTCCTTGTAGCATCACTATGGGTAGGCATGCAGTACATACAGAGCTAGCTTACAGTACTTAAAGAGCTTGCTTACGATGCTCCAAGAGCTTATAAGGCCTATATTCCTTAACATAATCCAATTTAAATGATCCTTGAATAAGCCCGTCTTGCTCCACACAATACCAGTGTAAATAATAATGGGACAACCGGCATCCAACGCCCTCGACCGATGCGCATTGCTGATTGCCAGGCCTAGTATTTTCCTATGAATTTGGGAGAATTAAAGGCATAGGCTGAAGAAACGTCTATACATGGCCTCGATTAACATAAGACACTTTTTCGTAGTCGGATACATGTGGTTTACCAGGTGCAACTTAATGAAATTAAATGAAAGTAATCGTTTCGTTGTCGGAGCGTTTGGCATACACGAAAACGTCATAGGAACATTTAAAAACTTTTTAGAAAATTTCCCAGTGCATTAGTTCACCGTGAAAATGACCATTATCTCTGCTTACATCTTACGAAAACAAGAAATAGCATATACGAGACGTGTAGTTCGTGCTGCCAAGCAAAGTTCTTGGCAGCTGCTTATCAACAACCCCGCATTGTCGACGCTGTTAAGTCAAACCTACTCAACGGCTGGATGGTAGATAAGTGCAACCGAACAAGTTTCTCACTGATACGTCTCTCAGACGGAAACTCCAATGGTGAACCAATTGCGATAGCCGATGCCATAGCGGGTAGTTTACTACACTGTTTGTTATGCTTGTCACAAGTTCCGGCTTGCAGAGCTTGCCCAAGTCGTCTTCTTCACAAACATGAATTGCTTTGACTCAACATACGATTAACAATGCAATGTGCTGTTCTTACTGACAGATTTGAAAAGGACCGATATGCTGCTGGTGTTTTCGGTGTTGAAAATGCTGGTAACACGTCTATGTGTCTGGACAGAATGGTTATCCCCTTTTCGTCAGCTGTCCGAACATGCTCTGCGCTTCGTCCTCAGCATGTTGAATGTCTAAACACATTTAATACACATTAAATACGCATCTTAAATGATTTATGCACTCAGAACATTTCGTTGACGAAAAAAAAGAAGTAGAGTATCACCGTTATGGGACCGAAATGAACGTAACAATAACCCTGACACTTATCACCCGGTGGCATTAACTAGGTGTTTAGTCAAGGCTCTTTCGAACGTGCAACGGGCGCACGCCTTCCGTTTATCCTCGACGCACAGAACCCTTCAATGCATTTTAGTCTGGATTTCGAGAAAAATGCAGCACCAATAGTTGTGGGTTGACAACTTCACGCACTGAAAAGCATGCGGCTCAATATTATGGTGCAATCTTTGCGAGAAAAGAAGACGATTTCGTGCAAATGGTTCAGTCGGTAGTGAGAGCGATTTCTGTGTGCAGTTACCTGAGCGGGTGGTGGCGCAACCGGCGCCAACGGCTTTGACTTTTACGCAGCGAAGCAAACGAGAACCGTTTGTAATGACTTAAGTCACGTGCTTATTCTCAAGTTGTTTGCTGGCTTGAGATGTGTTTAGTCTTAGGTCTGGGTCTTAAGTTGCGAAGAATTTGGCAATCACACATTTATTTGTGCCCGTTCCTCAGCCACGCACGGGTACGCCCTGCATCACCTCCGTTTTGTTATGACGTCTCCCTTTCACCACAGCGGCGTTTGTCGGCCGATAAAGATCGAAGCGCCGTCTTCGAATGCAGCCAGCACTAACGCACAATCCCGCCAGCACAAGCCAGCGTTGCGCAAAGCAACTAACGGTGCCCAGGGCAGCGATCACATTTTTTGTAACGGGCGCCCCGCTAACAATGCAACCCCAACAATGGGCATGCTTTCATATCCGCTGTCAGATAATAGCGCGGTGCATAAATCATAGGCAGATGCATAATAGCAAGGCTTGGACTACGTCAGCACCAGCCGCCGGCCAAATAAGGTCAGATCTGTGCCCGTGAGTGCCTTAGTCGGCATTCTGGTACACAAACATGTACCTCACACCACCGCGGTGCGCCGTTGTGCATCCGAATCCCCGTGTGAGCCAACCCGATTTACGTAATACCGTAATGCGTCGGTAACATCCCTCTGACAGGTGAGTTAAAGCAGAAGCAGCATCAAACAGATGCTATCAGCGACTGTTTCCAGTGTTGTTACGCTGGCTTATCAATAATTTACAGCCTGAACATGCGAACCCTGGATCTAGTTTTCCGCATCGAAGTGTTCTTGGCCTCCGTATTCCTAGTAATGCACGACGGTGACAGATCAGTGCACTCCCTACTACAAATGTGTCTCTCGCGATCATTTCCTTGCCTTCGTTCGACATCCACTTTTGAAAGTTTACTATGAATGCGATAATATCAAAACCGAAGCTACTGCATCAGATGTATGTACTGCCAGCTGCACAACAGCGGGTTCACAAGCATAGCCGATTTGTACAGCAAGTCCTTTGAACAGATGTTTGACGACATGTGACAAAGACTGACAACAGCATGCGGCAGAGATCTGCCATTAAGTCGAGAGCGGACGAAAATTCACCTATGCATCTCTGGATTTGCTAATGCTGTTTGCAAGGTACATGAAACTGTCAACGCGACCTGCATCCACCTACGTCACGTGACGTCACGTTGTGCTACCGGCTGGTGTGGGGGCACAGGTGTTTTGTTCTCACGTCTCACTACGCGGCGCACCTCCCCAGAACGGCATTCCATCGAGCGACAACCCGTACGTGTTCAACGGCGACTTCGTGGACCGGGGTAAGAAGTCGGTGGAGGTGTTGCTGATCCTGCTGGCCTGCGTGGTCGTCAACCCGCACGAAGTCTACCTTAACAGGGGCAACCACGAGGACCCGCTGATGAACCTCCGGTGAGACGCCGAGTGTGAGCGCGAGCTTACGAGGCGACGCTTGCGACCAAACACGTCGGGTTTGGTGTACCCCCCTCCAAAATACTCCGAAAACTGTGTTGTCTCACCTTGTCTCAAAGTGTGGGGGGAGCCCAAGAGAATGGAAAGCTGCGACTCATTACACTAGGTATCTAGTCGCCCATGGGCCAGCGTCGCCACATGGGTACAGATAATATCATGCTCTCGTAGCATGCGTGTGGGTTATTTTTCCCACATGTGACAATTCATGCTCTGAGCTGATCGGTGGCAGGGGCGTGGCCACGTGGTTTTCTCTGAACATGACGTTGTTACATTTTGGGCGCATCTTAAGTTGGCGTTTCTTCGACTGTGTAAAAAGAACTAAAAAGAACCAGCGTGCGTAATTGACCAAATAGCACTAGCTGTCAACACAAGATACAACGAGTACGCTAGGACAATATGAACTAACTTCGCCACGCAGCGCTTGCGTGAGTTCGCACCAGAGACGCAACTTCCTCAAAAATATCAGCCCGCGCCTAGTCCGCCCCGCGTGGCTAGTGATCCAACTTGCAAAAGTCCGGTATGCTACAATGCTGATCCGCCACTTATCCGCAAGCACTAATTTATTGCAATGTGCAGATTATCATTTCATCTCAATTTTAGACTTACATCCTAAAAACTGCATAACATGGTATGAAAGTGCCATCTAATGCAAAGCACTGTTTGGCGAACATCCGTGATGTTGCTCATGGAGTAGCCATCGCTGCATGTACACAGTGGAAGTTATGATGCACTTAAGTATATATTGAACACTGACGGCAGCTTTTAACCACAAATGAGAAGAAAGAGGGTAGATAATAAATTTTCTTTTCACCAAAATGCACCACATGTTTCACCCACCTACCTCGTCTCAATAGACGACAGGCTATTTCCTCTAAAATTATGTACATCAACGGATAGCATTGCACTGATTGGATAGAAATACTGGATTCTTCAAGTTGTGGGAAGTGACGGTTCACTACAATGAACATAAGCTCAATCATCATTCGACTACTTCACAATTGCCACAACGTCAAATTTCTCATTGAAGAACCGGAGCCAGCCTCCTCTATGGTGTTTGCTTTCCTCAAGTGGACACATCATGCAACCACACCACATTAAAACCACCTGGTAGCTTTGAAATGATCCACATTTCTCTCTTACCACCATCACGTCCCATCCCACAACCACAATCGTGCTGTTTGTGTACTGCTGTATGAAAGCTACGTGAAAGTAAGGATGGCGATAATATTTTGTCCGCTAATATTTGCCTCTCCAGTGGCATTACTGACATTTAGCAATGCCATCAAAAACCGGGACATATCGTTGCATGCTGTAGAAAAAACTTCTATGAAACAAAAAGAAAGCTCTGAAAAATTTCCAGGAACTCTTTCTGTGAGTTATAAAGCCTGCAGCCTGCAAATTGCGATCCTTGTCGAAGGGTTTACATCACTTTTCAGGTTTGCAGGTTTTACATCATTTTTCCTCTTGGCCCTAGGAATCATTTGCTGCCAGATTTCTGAAATATTGTTCTGTTGATCCGTTTGAACAGCTTTCTTTTAGGCATATTTTTGCAGTCCATTGCCGAGACGTGGCCGAACCAATCGGGTTAAGAGATTGGGTTTAATCTGCTTGGATCCACGTTGTCCGTTCTTCCTTTTTTCAATTCCGGTATTGTATTCACATGCCTTGTATCACCAACAAGACCACTTGCAGCACCCAGTCACACATTTTAGAACTCGATCATGTTCAGCGTAGTATAATCCCCACCCACGCTTGGAGTAATTGTTCTCACACCACATCATTTTTACCCGGTTCTGTCTATCTGAATAAGATGAACAGCTAAGACATTTTAAAAGCGGCACGGCACGCATAATACCAAGGAATATCTACGCCCTACTTTTACACAACCGTATCCAGTCATGTGCTGCCACATAGCAAATCTAGTACACGCCACTATCCAATTAAAGGAGCTCACTTTGTGTCTCGTAGCTTTAAAGGAAACCATTTTTCTTTTATTTTTAAGTGCGTTCCACTTTGCGTTGCATTTATCTCGGGAGCCATTTCGTATTGTACCATACCTCTCTCTCTCTCTCTGTTTCTTTTCAACACTGAGCATATTTTTACGGTATTTCATATTTGATCTATGTTTTTTGACCAATAAGTTTACACGCAGTAATTACATGCACAACCAAACTATTATCAGAAATAGCCAGCAAGAGGTACTGTTACCGCTCCAACCACATGCCCATCAATTATATTCAACGAATTTAGCCAATAAGCAGGAGCATCGCAATGTATCGACCTTGGCAAAATTCACAGCGCGAATGCTTCCCGACATCTGTTGCACCTTTTACACATTTATGTTTGCGTCACTCTCATCTTGTATAGAGTAATGTTTGTGTATTTTGAGATATTTTGATGATGCGTAATGTGCAGTTGCATAGACCGTGTAGCGATGTACAGGGATGTATACACTGTGTACAAGGTTACACCGCCAAGTTTAATATGGAATGGTAAGGATGCTTAGCATGAGGTTTCCTTCGCAGAGAATCTGTTATCCATGTATGAACAATGGGCTCTGGCTCTTTTTGGACATTATTTTGTGAGTGCCAGTTTCTCGCCAGACTTAACGCGGCTTATGCAATCGATGTATGTGGTGCGCACACCGAACTCACCCCGAAATTTGGCCAACGTGAGAACTTGTGCTGTATCGTCGGCAGCTCGCTAATGTTTTAGAAATCTGTAGTATTCCATGCTGCCATGTCAGTTCTTTATTTCATTTCGTTGGAATACCACAAGCCTCAATGGCCTGGGTTCATAAATTCTGCCCTGCCAGTCGATGCTAGAAGTGCACTTGTCTGTGACCTCTCTTTCCAAGTCGATTTTTTAGTTTGTTGCCTCCCTCGCAATTTTTCGAATTAATTTAGTGCTCCACCGCCACAAAAAAGTTTCACAAGCTGTTCTAACATGAAATGATTGCCTCCTTATGCGAGTCGGGATTATTTGGCTTTTTATCCACGAAACCTTCAACGCTGTAATGTACAACTCAGCATCCAGTATGGATCAATATCCTTCTGCATGCGGCTTATGCATGCCATTTCCTTTTATTCTGCCAACGTTACCCTCCCATATGAAGGCAAACTATTCACGCTTTAGGTATCGAATGAAAGCACGAATTTAACAGAGGTGTGAACAGGTTTGTAAAGTTGAAGGAATTAATCCGTTTATTGAGAATTTTTTCACTCTTGGCATTCAAAAACGACGCTTCCAGTGCCGGAATATGACTTTCATGTGATGCAGCTTAGAATCAGGGTTGTCAGCAGAGGCAATGACTTCGTAATTCGAGAAATCTATCTCAAGTAAGTTGAGCATTTTATCCAATTAACATTGAGATCTCAGCGAAAAGGATCATTTTCTTTGGCAGCAGCACCAACCAAGGAGGATTTCGTTTTGCCTTCGTTCAGTTTTAGACTGAAACATTTTGCGGATGCCCGGGCGCGTTTAAGTGCACTGCAGCTGTGCACAGTAATGTCAAAGAAACACAACGTGTCGGCTGCCTAATGTAAAACGCCTCTACTCCTTGTTGGGTTATCTTAGCCTTGATATTGCCATAACGAGTTCTTCTTTAAAAAAATATGGTCACGTTAAGAAATGGGAAGAACCAAAAAGATTGGCCGGTCTGCAAGACTGTAAGTTAGTTTCTTTCCAATGTTTTTTTTTCATACATTGTACCGTTTCCATTTTATACGTGACTCAGCTAGGATCTTACGTAAGATAAGTCAAGCCATTTTATAATAGTACCAAGGAAGTTCGTTTCCACAAACCTTTCCCTGCAAACTTCCAGCTAACCGCATTACAGGCCACCTCGATGTCGATCCTGACGAGAGGAAGGATTATTGTGCATGCGCTCTTAGACGCCGCGGTAAATTTGACGCGAAACCCGTGTTATCGCCAGTGAACCGCCTTCCAATAAACCCGTCTGGTCACCCCCAATCACACAAGGTGGCTCTGTCCTCCGCCGGCTTGCAACGGCCCCTCACGACCCATGAGAGAAACAACGCTCAAGCACATACTTTAAGTGGATAGGCTTTCATTTGGTAGTCTGAACTGGGACCGATGCACGTCGGAGCCAACCTTCACGGCTTACATGCGTTGGCTGCCTCAAGATTGATCGCTCGGTTCTGAGCGAAAATGCTCTAAAGGTGTTTAAAGTTGGTTAACAGCCTCCCGTGGAATCCGATCAATATCCTGGCGTTGGACCGATGTTTCGTCTCGCGTGAAGCGCGCATCTTCTGTCCCTAATCTACACCTGTCTAGCTGCAGGCTGGCTTCGACTCAGCGCTCTGTCCTGTCTCGTACTGCCGAGCACTGGGGCGAGTCGCCATCGGCCGCTTTACGGCCGCGACCTCGGCCAGAGCTGAACGAAAGATACCGCTGCTAGAGCATACGAGTGTTAGGCTAGAAACATACAAGTGTCAATTTCATGCAGCATTCGATGTTACGTTGCACCTCTCGTGTGTTGATTGGTGTTTATTTTCTTCAATGCAGCTATTCCCAAGCACCAGGCATGATCATGACGTGACCATGAAAGTAAAGGCCCTGGCGGAGTTTTCCGTGCTGGTTTCTGTGGTGTCGTATCACATCTGACGCAACATTCTTCCATGCATGTTGTCCATTGAAGCACTTCACAATATTTGCAACGTAACCTACCCATGTGTGGTGGGGTCTAGCAACTGCTGTCACTGGCCATGGGACTCCGTTTTTGTCAGGGCCGTATATAAATTGTTTAACGTAGGATTTAAGGTAAACGAAATACACAAATGGTGATTATTTAGCTATTGTCGTGTACTTGAAACTATTGGCATTCGCTTTGTTGCGGGCAGTACATCCAAAATATGCTGGCGAACGTTTTCTTCACGGATTTGACCCACTTTTCCTCAAAGTTGAGAGTTATAGCCCAA